ATCAGAGACTGTGTTGTATGTAAAATCCACCTCTGAAGATTGATGGATTAAGATGAGGTGTTGTGTGTCTTTGAGTTCATACTGACTCTGCATTTTTTTATTTTATTTTTTTGCATTCTGGTTCTTCTTTTGTCACTGTATGTGATTTTTTTTTTTCACTGAATTTAATTATTTGTAATCTTATACCTTGTCCAGATTCTGCGGTAGAATGGGCACCAAAGGATGATGTTCGTAACTGGTATGAACAGAATGCTTATGATAATGAAGGTTCTCTGGATGGCAGAAGAATGTCATCACAACCTCATTCTGCTCTTTCTCAGTTACATGAACCAAAGGCCTTATACAGAACATCCTCATATCCTGAGCAGCCAAGGCAGCAACAACATCCCCAGCTCCAACCTGGTGAATCAGCTCCAAACTGGTTTGATCAGCATATGTATGGTACTGAAACTACTCAGGATGGAAAACGGTGGTCAACACAACCACATTCCTCAATTGCAAACTTACAAGAGTCGAGGCCATTGCATAGAACATCTCTATATCCTGACAAGCAGCAGGAATTTCCTCATTTTTCTAGTGAACCAATTTTGGTACCAAATTCGTCATTTACTTCTTATCCTCCTCCTGGTGGTAGATCTCAGCAAGCTTCTCCAAGTCATAATAATACAGGCCACTTAAACATTCCTTATCACACTGTGGGAGCTCAGATGGCACTATCACCTCAAAATCGTTCTCATTTCTCCAACCCTGCATTACAGTTGAGTGGAATAAATCACAGGCCACCTTTTGGTGGAAACATGCGCCAATTTCCTACTGGTTCTCCTCTTAATCAGATAATACAAAATCAATTTGTAAACCAGACAGGGTTATATCCTGGAGATCATCCCAATATTTCCTCAGGTATACCCATGATTAATAAATATGATCAGGTGCTTGGGCTGATGGAACTGAGGGATCAGATGCCTAAATCAGCTCAAATAGGTCGGCAGAATCTCCGATTTCCTCCACAGGGTTTTGATATGATTGGCCTTAGAAACAATAGTGGATGGCCTAGATTTAGATCCAAGTATATGACAACTGAGGAAATTGAAAATATTCTTAGAATGCAGCTTGCAGCAACACACAGCAATGATCCATATGTTGATGATTATTACCACCAAGGTTGTCTTTCAAAAAAGTCTTCTGGTGCAAAATTGAGGCACCACTTTAGTCCAGCTCAAATAAGGGAACTTCCTCTACGACCCTCTTCTAATACTGAACCACATGCTTTTCTTCAGGTCGATGCTTTAGGGAGGGTTCCCTTCTCATCAATTCGCAGGCCCCGTCCTCTACTGGAAGTTGATCCTCCTAATTCCTCTAATGCAGGTAGTCCTGAGCAAAGCATTTCTGAGAAACCCCTTGAACAGGAACCAATGCTTGCAGCTAGGGTCACAATTGAAGATGGTATTTATCTTCTTCTTGACGTAGATGATATTGACCGTTTCTTACAGTTTAATCAACTTCAAGATGGTGGTCTTCAGTTAAAACGGAAACGGCAGGGTCTTCTGGAAGGACTTGCTACCTCACTTCAGTTGGTTGATCCACTGGGGAAGAACGGACATACAGTTACACTTGCTGCAAAAGATGACTTTGTTTTTCTCAGGATAGTTTCTCTTCCCAAGGGTCGAAAGCTGCTAGCTAGGTACCTTCAATTGCTTTTTCCTGGTGGTGATCTAATGCGGATAGTCTGCATGGCCATCTTTCGGCATTTAAAGTTTTTATTCAGTAACCTTCCCTCAGATTCAGCTGCAGCAGACACCATTAGTAACCTTGCAAGGGCTGTATCAAGATGCATTCGTGAAATGGATCTTAGTGCAATTAGCGCTTGCCTAGCAGCAGCTGTATGTACTTCTGATCCACCTCCTCTACGCCCCCTTGGAAGTTCTGCTGGAGACGGGGCTTCCCTTATTCTAGTGTCTGTGCTTGAAAGGGCAACTGAACTTCTAACTGATCCTCACGCTGCTGGCAATTATAATATTGCAAACCGTTGGCAAGCTACATTTGATGAATTCTTTGGCCTTCTGACCAAGTATTGTGTGAGTAAATATGATGGTGTCATGCAATCATTCCTTGTACAAGGGACACCAAATATGGCTGCCATTGATGCAGATGCTGCTAAAGCTATTAGTAAGGAAATGCCAGTTGAGCTCTTACGTGCAAGTCTACCTCACACCGATGACCGTCAGAAAAAACTATTACTTGATTTTGCTCAACGCTCCATACCAGTTGTTGGATTTAATGGTAATTCTGGGGGCCATGGGCACCATGTGAACTCGGAGTCAGTGCTGAGTTAATTAGATAATTGAACACATTCATGTGAGGAGCTGTTCAATGACAGAAATTTCATAGGGATAGCCTTGCGTTTCTATTTACTCTGGAGAAGTCTCATGTTGAAGGATCAGGTGCATCTTAGAAGTTTTAGTCCCTTGGTATCTTGATAATGCCATGCGGCATTATGATAAATTTGCAATCAGGCCTTTGTGTATTATGATAGACTTGGCTTGATATGTGTTCCTCTTGTCTTGCCTTTTTTTCCTTTTGACAGGGGAGCTTATTGTTGCTCAGTTTGTGGTTTCTCTAGAGCACAGTAGTGGGTAGTGTATGTCCAGGTTAGGTGTTTAAGTTGGATTCCCATGTTTCTTTATTTATTACCATCATTCAGGCATGGGATTGTGGTTGTGTTCATACTCCTTATCTACCTTTTTATGGACATCACATGCCCAAATTGAAGTAGCATTGTGGGATGGACCAATTTAACCAGTCGACAAGGTGGCATTGTCATGCTTAAGAATAAATTATGTTCACTTTTCTTGGTTTCAATTTCCTCTCCTTTTCAATTGGTGTAGGTCGTAGTTGTATCATCATAGTTTGCTGTTGCATTTGCTACAAAGCAATATATGGAATTTTTGCATAGTTGAAGTAGTGCAGATGTCCTTTTCAAGATGTTATTATGATTGCTTTCTATACTTTGTTGACGTCTGTAATGAATGAATTTGGTCCCTGAATCTTGCGTTGTGCAATGCTACTAAGTTCAAGTTCCCTTTGGATTTCTCCTTATATTCATTTATTTATTGTTTCGTAATTCATCAAAATCACTACATTAATTTTATCAGGTTCAGTGTTTAAAATGGATTTTAGTTGATTATTTTCCTAAAATCCGAATTTTACACTCCCCCAATAAAAGCTATTCTTCTACACAATTTATTTGAAATTTAGGATACGTTATGTTTTAGACTAAATAGCGTAGAATATTGTTCATAAGAAATATTGAATATTTCTCATTAATTTATAATTACGATGATTATAATTTAATAAAAATATGTAATAATAAAAATATAGTTTCTGTTTATACTTATAACTTTATATATTGTATTAATAAAAACATTTTAGTACAACTCAACAAATATTTGACATGATATAATAGTTATAATTCAAAAAATCGTTATTGTTAATAAAAGCATTTTAAAATTACATTTCAAGCCGTGATGGAGTAAAGGGTGTCGAAAAACGTTCTTAAAGGGTGTGTTGAATTTGTGCTACTTTTTTAAAGGAAGGTGTTGATTAAAGGAAGTTGTCTGAATACTAAGCATTTCTATTAAACAGAGATGATGATGTTAGTTAAATGTTATGTATAAATAAAGGTGATAATCGAAAAACTTGAGAACATGTTCGATTTTCATTTTCAAATAAAATTTATATTTAAAAGACGTTCTACTTTTAGTTTTGTCACGACTATTGTTATTGAAAAAAGTTTGAATAGATTTAAATAAAAATTAATGCTAAAAAAGGAAAATAAAAGATAAAAATATTACTTCTGCTACTAAAAATAGTAGTAATAATAATAATACTAAAAAAAATATTTGTTATAAAATAAATACTTTTAACTCTTAGTTGTTAAAAAAATATCTTAAAAGTATATTTTATGTTTCTTTTTATCTTAAATGTTAAAACCTGTTCTAAAAAAATAATGAAAATTATTAGTGTAATTTTTTTTTTTGTTGGAATTTCGATCATTATATTTCATTAGAACACAACAGAAAATTTTTAAATGGCATCATTAAAGTGCCAATAATAGAAAAAGTGTGCTTGTTACAATGCTCAGCTAATAAAATAACAGCTAAAATTATTTTAGTTTGAAGGGTTTAAATTATAACATATTTAAACTATAAGACTTTTTAAAGTGTTTTTAAATAAAGATTTGGTCATTAATTTAACCAAAAAATATAGTAATCTTGTTATTATTTGGTAACATCAACAAAAAATCAATTATAGCTTTTACGTTCAGTAATTACTTCTTTTAAATGTAAAATCACTACTAATAATTCCAAACGCTTTATAATTTTAGTATTATATATATATATATATATATATATATATATATATATATATATATATATATATATATATATATATATATATATATATATATATATATATATATATAAGCCAAAACAAATGGATTAGTCTTCAAATGTCTTTTCAAGCGGAATCTAAGTATAAATTTTAGTTCAAGTAAAATAGACTACACATAATTTGATTATCAATATATATAATAATCTCCAAAAGATATTAAATCCAATTCGTACTTGATATAATCTAAAGCATAAAAAATTGAAGTTAAATACCATCTTGAAAATTATGAAAAATATTCCAACTGCAAATCAATACTAAAATAATAGGATATCACACGAAAAGTTCAAAAACCCCAACACAACTGCAACACAATGTTAATTTTTCTCAGAGACGTAAACATGGCTAACTGATGAAAAAATGAAAAAAACTACTACTGCTACTGCTCTGAAATACAAATAATCCCTGAGGCTAATATGATATAAGATGTTGGGATACACTATCATACATGGTGGAGAGCATTTAAAATCACCTTCAGCAACTAATATGCGAAGACAATGCCTCCAGCAATCTTGGACGTGGTACGAGAGTAGGGCACTCCGCAGAATTTAATGATGAATTTGATGCTATCTTCTGTGAACTTTGTTCATCTTAAGAATACCTTGTTGATGCTTACATTGACAAGTCTGTAGGCAGAATACGCTGGCTTAGTCTGTTTATTCAAGCCAAGAACCATGAGACAAGCTCAAAGCTTGGCACATATGCAAGGAATCTCACACTTTAAAGAAAAGCTGAGAGGAAAATGTTGACTAAGAACATGAGTTACATGGCTGCTGCCAATGTTAACACAGTAGCAAGCACACACGATAACAGGACGTCCAGCAAGAACGAGTTAGTTGGGTGTGTCTTGGCCAAAAGAGAAGACAGCAACTCAGCAACTGGAATAGCCTAGAATGCACCTTTTTGCTCCCAAAAACTCTTCGAAAGTGTTGAGAGCTTTAAACGTAGAAGAAGAGGCTAAACACAGATCCCAAATTTTTTGTTTTTACTGCCAAGGAAAGGATAACATTTGTTTGGGTCATCATTGATTGTATGAGCAAATCATGTATGCCCATTTTGTGGCCCTTTTGCATCCATGTACAGACATTCTTTTAACACTTGCTTACCAAGTCATGTATCAAATCTATAGACTGCACGGAGCACCAGTACAGATAATTAGTGATAGGGATCCTATTTGTGTGAGTAATTTTTGGAAGAGTTCATCAAATTCAAAACCAAAATAATATCTTCTCAGTTGATAAAAGACGAGAAAGGCTTCAAAAGAAATAATTTACTGGTTTGTGACATACTCTGTAGCTGGACCGGGATGGAAAATTTCTCACAGCAGATTGTTTGCATCACGAATACCTACTATTGACATAAAAACAACTAGTTCGAACGTGTTTTCAGAATAAATTATTTGCAGACGAACAGAAATCAAAATGACATGCATGGTATCTTCAACTGCAGTTTAAATCCAAGAAAGCATCTACAAGAATAGATAGGAGGGAGCAAATACACATTGACACTATTATGAAATATTTGCAAAGAACTACCATGTGATCGAATTATTCTAAACCGACCAAACATAAGACTTCCTAAAGAGTAACAAGTTTTTTCTAACGTCCACCACAACAAATTGTTTTACTTGCTTTGAATGATGGAGCATGCCTCACCTCAGGTCCTTCAGATGCCTACAATCAATATATAGAGGAGACCAGCATGTATTAACAGATTAAACATTTGTTTGAATTAGCTTATATTTTGTGTTTAAAAAAATAAAGTAAATTTTCTCTAATAATTGAGGTACTAAGCACATTGAGATTAGGAAAAGGCTATCTAACAAAGAAAATTTGATTAGGAAATTCTTATCATCCAAAAGCCTATCTAACAAGAAATTTGAGATTATGAAAAAAATGCCTAACAATATTATGAGTTTGCTGAATTACAGAAGTTAGAAAATCTTCGAATAAAGTAACTAAGAAGTTACATAAAATGGGAGAACTAGAATTGCTTTTCTTTCACTCATTTGACATAAGGGGGAATTGTGTGCAGCTGTCAGCTGAGCAAAACCAGTACTCATAGCAAGTGCAAAATAAACAGCAAATATTGTCAAGGAAATGGAAGGAAGAATAGCATAGAGCATAGAAAATATTTTATGTCCCAATTGCCTTTCAAATTTTAATGAAAAAGCAGAAAAGAAGTTCTGGGTTTCATAATAAAATTCCAGAAGTAACTTTAGAACATTGAAAATTAAAAATAATGCTACAGAAATGTAAGAACATACTTGACAAAGTTTGTAGCCCCTAAAAAAAGTTAGCATATGCCTCCCAAATCTCCTGCACTATGAATAATCTTGAGGAGTATTGAATCACCTAAAGCACTTTTTTCTTTCTTGGTTAAGTTGAATAGAAGCAGAATAAATTAAGTGCACTAGCGCATCATCAAACTCTTCTAGTTCACCAGAATCTCGTAATTGACAATATGAAGGAGCCATGAGATTTGCTGCTATGTCAACCAACTTCCACAAAGAGAGATTATAAGCCATTTTGATTATTTTAATGGATAACTGCCACGAAGCATCAAGACAAGACATAATCACATTCCAGCAAGATTCCTGAATATTTTCCAAAAGCCAGAATTCAGCAAGCCAATAAAGCTCCACATATGGTTGTAGATTAAATAGCTTTTCTTCATCATCAATATTATCCCACAAGCATCCAGAGGGAGGATCAGGCAGCTCATCAGAATAAAACCACTGCACTAGTTTACACAATGCTTCCCAGCTAATATCAACTTTTATGACTTGCGAATGACTGTAATGAACGAAAAGATTTAAGACACACCCTCGGGACAGAATACAATCAAAATGCAGAAGGGAAACACAAATTAAAGCAAAGAGGCTTGCAAAGTTTCCCATTAGAAATGAAAATCCTTGCACCTAATTTCCAAGGATGTCCTAGACTTACTTTAGAGTTGAAATGAAATTGACATGGAAGAGCATAACAATCCAAACCATCATGACAACATACATGGTTCCAAGTCACTTTTCCAACTAGTTTTAGATTAAATTACATAGAACTAAGTACTTAAGAACACCATCGGTGAGTTTCCAGCGGAAAGTTAGAATATGCTTGTGAAGAAAATTTTCAATCTTGATCAAATTGCATGGGGTGGGAGTTGAATTCCACGTTAGAAGTTTTAGAGCAATGTTTTACAAGGTATTGTGCCTCAAGGTTCTTATCAGGCCTTTGATAGAACTCTCAAAAAAATATACTAAGGGAATATTATTTAATAAAAAACAGAGCCTAAGCTCTTCAAAACCAGACCGGAGTGTATGCTCCTAAGAGAAGAAGAATCTTCTCTCCCAACACAATCACTCATAATCGTAATTGACTCCCACATTCTCCTATGTACCCATCCAACACTCCCTTAACAGAATTTGCCAACTCTGAACCTTTCTATTCTGCTCTCTTCACTCTGGGTATACACTTTCCAAGTTCTGGACCTCTCAACATTTGTGCCTACTTTATGGGCCAGTGTTCTATAACTTCCTCCCAATAATGAGGAAATTGACTGCACAAATTGTGCTCCCCTTCCATGTAGCATCCTCAATAGACAATCCTTTCCACTACACCAAATTTTTTTTGGGACAACTGTTCTGCAAACAAATCTACTGCTTAAAACATTCTCTGGTTCAACATGGTCATCAGGTTCCATCTCCAACTCAGATGGCAGACTGGTTTCTGGTGTGTACTCTCCAATAGGCATTTTTTGAGAAACATGAAAAATGGGATGAACCTTAAAAAAGGCAACTGCAATTTATAAGCCACCTCTCCTAACTTTTCCATCACCTGAAAAGAACCATAAATTGAGGGGCGACCTTTTGATCATTGCGACATGCCCCATATTGTTGTTTACAAGGTAGTTAAACTCGACATTCTAGTCAAACTTGGAAACAAGATTGTAAATCATGAAATTGTAACACGAAGTTAAGATTCTACAATATATATAAAATTCATATATATGCATATAACATAACATAAATAAGAGAAAGACCCATGTAACATTAACAAATATTTAATTAAGCTTAAAATTATAATCATAGATTAATACGCATATGAAAGTCAATGACTAAACCCCATTAAAAACTCAACTCACAAGTCATAAATGACAAACAAAGCAACTTAAAAAACTGTAGTAGTAGTGCCAAGTGACTACTCCTAGTACAAAACAAAACACTTGAACACCAAGACAAGACCTTTAAAATAGAGAATCCAAATTAAAATCATAATCACTCGAGATATTGGGCCTCAAGCCCTATTAGTATATCAGAAAAGAAAGCCCATTAATTGTTATTACGGGAAGAAATCTATCAGAATGGGTTGTTATGTTATGAAAGTTAGAGTTTGTTAGAACAGTCAGGCAAACAAGAATAATAAACACACTATTGTGAGAAGAGGGAAGGGAATTCTTGATCTTTTGTATACAGGGACAGTCTCCTATGTTGAAGGAGATAAACTCCTTATGTAAATACTATTGTATGTTAAAACTGTGAGTACCATCATTGGGTGCCCATTATCCAAACTTTGTTAACATTTTCTTTCCTATTTCAGTTTTGTGCATATTGTGGGAAAGCATTTCTAACAAAGTCCCATGTGATTGAGAACCCAAATGTTTTGTTTGTTTGCTATTGTGATAGTCTCTGCTTCCAAATCACAGGCTAACTTCATTGTCAACCGATTGCGATTGTTAGAAGTTTGAAACCGACTTCGCAAATCATATTGAAGACCTCATAAAGTATCCCATATACTAATCTTCATGCAACTGTCCACTAGGGACGAAATGAAATCAAATCTAGAATTTACTCCTCCACCATTCTTGTTTGAGGTCCCCAAGCTCTTCAAATGGATTATTGAAGCGAAGACTTTCATTCAATAAGTGTTTGCTTCAATTTGGACCATGTGAGGTGATCTTCAATCTCCCTTGACAAATTGAAGCAGTGAAAGGTCGAAACCTCCATACTCAACTTTGCTAACTTCACTTAAATCTTGTTGGACGTATTTAACACTTCAAAATATGTTTGAGCTCTAGTTATCCACCCCCATGGGATCCACTCCATCAAATAGCGGTAACTCAAGCTTCTTCATGGCCATTCAACATTCGTCCGAGTCATCTGCCATCATGATAGAACTCCCACCTCCAGGGTACCACTGCCACCCCCTACACTTCCACCCACAGATGTTCGATGATCCAACAACTTGCCCATTTCAAAAGCAAACACATTCAGAAATCCTCCATTGATTCATTGAGTGAATTCTCTGGAGAGTTTACCATAGCCTCCCAAAACTCCATCTGTCTGTCATTTTTGGGGCATTTGGAAATCGAATCATGCAAGTTGGACCAATTAATAGAACACTTACGAAAATATACTAAAAAGGGAATATTATTTAATGAAAAACAAACCCGAAGCTCCTTACAATGAGATCCTTTCAACGAGACCAGAGCATATGCTCCTAAGAGAAGAAGAATATTCTCTCTCAACACAATCACCCAAAATTGTAATTGACTCTCGCTTTCCCACATTCTTCTATATTCCCATCCTACACTCCCCTAACAGAATTTTCCAACTCAGCACCCTTCTATTTTGCTCTCTTCTTTCTGAGGGTATACAATTTCCAAGTTTTGGCCTCTCAACCTTGAGCCTACATTCTGCCCATGTTCTATCAGCCTTCATTAGAGTTTAAACATAAACAAGTCACAAATATGTTGGTTAACAAAGAATAGGTAATAGACACCAATGCCATCTGCATTTTGGGTTTTGACCATGTACATGTTCAATTTTCATGAGCTCTAGTTTGAATAAAAGGCAAAGCTTTTCATCATTTGTAAATCAGAAAAACTGTAAAATAGATCAATTAATAATAATCACCTTTCTTGCATCCCTGACCGGAACAAACCTTGTAGATAATCACAGCCAGACTGCAATATAACTTTGTGAACATGCTTATGGGGTACTGTAACAGAACAAATATTGCATGCCCACCCAACAAGTTCATTTGATTTAGCTTCCAATATGACATCCCTGAAAAAAGATTGACAAAATCGGAATTTCTCTCTCAAACTTTACAAACAAATTTTAGAAAATAGAAACCTTTCAATTACCCTAAAATCACAAGTCAATAAATATCTAATAAATAAGAAAGCTCCAATTAGTAAACTTAACTAAAAGTTGTCTCACTGCACTTGATAATACAGTTGCATTTACTAACTGCGTCCAACTTCAGTAGTTTTTCAGAAAAGAAAAAATAACTCATTTTAAAAACACTTAATGGACCTAACAAACTATTATATTAAAGGTTGCTATACAAGTATACATGATTTAATACAGAGAGTTTTGTAGGAATGAAAGATGGAAATGGACATAAACAGACAAAAAAAATGTAAGATTTCAATAATCATGTGCAATTTCAAGATATATAAAGAAAGCTGGTCAAGAAGCAAACCATACGAATAACAACTTCCAGCCAAATCAAGAGATGAAGTAAGATTGAAGCTGGGGAAAGGTGTCCCCCACTTTGGACGTTGCCTGTGAAGCATTTGAAACAAAGGCTGTAGATTGCAGTGCTTAGCAAGAATTTTCAGCTTCCTTGCTGTTTCTTCACTGGCATGTAAGCATCCCAGGTATACATATTCCAATAACAATACCAATGCTTCATAATCAACATAAGAAGATAATCGAACTTCTCTTGTGGACTCTCTGACAAACTTATCTGTTATCACTTTAGAATTCTTCCTACAAGGTAACAATCGAGGAGGCAGCAGTGACGGACATCGAACAGCAAGAATAACAATATGAACACTCAGAGATTCCCCAGTTGCTATGACAAGATTCATATCTGAGTATTCTTCCTTATTGAGAGATTTCCCAATCCTTTCGGCTAATTCATTTGGGAAACCGTAATATCTGAAATAAGTTAGAATATAAGAAACATACCACCTCACACCAGGACTGAAAGAGTTACTTTTGCAGATCTCTTGAAATTTGCTAACTAACTGGCCTCTAATGTTTGTCACCTCTCTAGAAAATTGCTGAGGATTATCTTGTAAAAGGTCACACAGATGAAGAATTTCAGTTAAGCCCAACAAACTATAAAATAAGAGAACATTGGAACCTTCCCAATCTTCTTTATCATAACAGCAACAAGACCTTTCATGGCATGTTGTATGCAAATGAGGAGCAAAGCTTTGCCTTTCAATATGAATGTCATTATTTAAGCACCGTTTCACAAGAAGAACAATCACCTTTATCCCATTGCTCTCAATGATACATCTTTGATACTGTGGTAAACTTGAAAGACAACTAAACCCAATCAAATTAGTAACCAGTTGAAGTTTATCAAATGATCCATAGCTTTCTAGGGATGATGTATAATCTAGAGTATGTATTAAGCATTTCAAGCATGGCATGCCTTTCACCTTCAGCATATCTGCTAATAAGAATCTAGTATGCGAGGAGATGGAATTACAAGGAGAATGAATCATCATTAGAACAGCCCTTGATACTGGTTCACTTTGAAAATGATCATCGACATCCTTTTGACATATTCTGCACCATTTTTCAAGTGTATCCACAAAAGTCAAGCTATAGACAAAGGGAAAATTAGAATTAGTGAATTTGGAGAGCATCAACGGGTGAAATAAAAGGTCAGCTGAAAATTTTCAGAAATATAATCAACAGCAGTAGCAAGAAACTGAGACATAGGATATGTTGAAATATCAATGTGTGTACACATGTTAAATCCAATCAAGCAATGATAATTGAAGGAATACATTTTACCATGCACATGTAATTAGTAAGTTGATGCAGAGCTCACTACCATGAGTATAAGGGTTTAAATTTTCTCCACAATGAATTGTAAGCCACCCAAGAATGTCCCACAGATAGCTCCTAAGACCAAGATGATAATTGGATTTTAATCCCTCTTTGGCCATGTATATTTGTTTTTCCAATGACAATACAGGTTCAAACAATTGGTCTTGAATATTTTCAATCAGAAGATTAAGGAGAACCCTATCAATTCCTTGTTTCCAGAAATTTGTATGATGATCACCTGCCCAGCGAGTTATTAGAGCCAACTGGCATGCTTCCGCTGACAAAGACCCATGGTTGTTCCCAATTTTTTTAGAACTCAGCCCAGTTTCTCTCATTCCACAAATTATGGCCCCAACAAGAGCTTCACCACACAAACCAATGACTTTTAAACAATTATCTTGGGATCTCTGGACAGATAAAAACCAATCTTTGTTAGGAGCAATACTTTATATTACAGTGATCATCTTATAGAACAATGAAATGTTACCAATAGACATTGAGCAAGCCTAAACCCCTCAATCCGAACAGCATGAGGGTTTGATTTTCCCATTGCCTGCACAAACATTTGTGGAAATACTTCTCCATCCTCTATAAGTTTTCTTGCTACAGAATCACATAAAGCTGGTAACAACAATAGAAATTAGTTAGTCTAAATACTAGAGAATAGATGATAACAAGAAAAAGTGTTTTGGTTGTAGTGGAGGGTAGAGGGATATTTTAATACCTAAAGATGTGTACAACTTTAAAAGCGCAAGTTTAATAGAACTATTTGTCCTTGATTGGATGTTTGCTAAAACTTTCATAAGTATTACGTCATTACAAATAGGAAACCTAGACGGAGGCCAGCGCCACAGTATAGTGCTCAAAAGTAAAGTCATCTCTTCAAAATATTCAATTTTCTTTGCACCTTCAGCAAAATCTTTTATGTTTCCAACAATTTGAATGGAAGCCTCTGTTTCTTTCAATGCTTCCATAACTTCCTTCTCACTAGTAGCACTCAAATTTGAGATTACCAACTTCAAAGCGGTAGCACAGGGTATAGCAACTTCTACTTGATGTGAAGATAGCAAGGATGATAGACAATAAACAAGATCCAACATATGTTGTGATTGCAATAATGGAATAGGTAGAACACTAACTAACTTAACCGTAACTTTTGATGCCATGCTTAATAAGGCCTCACTTTTGCATTGAAGAATCCATAATAATGCTCCCAAAATATCAGGAACAGATTCCTGAAGAAGTAAAGCAAACACATATTTCATTGTTATTGAAAATATCATACCAATTCATCCATATCAAACCATTCTACACAAATTTATCTGTTCGAATTCACATAATATTACATTAGTAACTATTTTCAAAATGTATCTGTTTGGTTTGTGAAAACATTATCTGTTTTCATCATGTCTACTGTTTTCAAAATACAGGATACATAAAAACAACTTCTTAATGTTTTTTGTTTACACCTTTTTTTGTATAAAGGTAAAAAACAGGAAACAAAGTGAAAAGAAAAAATAAAAACAATTTTTTTTTCTCAGACCAAACTGCCCCAAGGAAATGCTTTCTTCTACTTATTTATTTATACTTGTAAATAACTCATTGTAATTAATTCACAAATGTAAAAATAATCCTAACTAAGTATGCTGAGTGCAATTGACTAAAAAATTCATAAAAAAATCTCTAAATCCCTCAATTTTCACAAGTTTAGATATGCACATTTCATTTAGAAAGTCCAATGAACTGGCATAAAACTCCTAATTCAGGTCCATAAGTGCTACTAACTAGAAACCCCAAATAAGAAAAGGAAGCAAACTATAAACCTTGACAACAGCATGACGTGCTGCACGTGCATCTCCCGATAAGGAATCAAGAAACGCACCAGTTGATCGTAGTACATTTTTCTGCACTTCAATGTTGGCGCACTGCCACCTCGATCTATTTGTCTTCTCATCAAAATGTCTGTAAAATAAAACATTCACATAGAAACAAATCACAACAAGAACAACAATCCACGAAATGAAAAACCAATTGAATCACTTTGAGGCCTGGAGTTTAAGCGATGGATAGCAGGCGCCCACTTTGTCAAAAACCAAAAAGATAGAAAATTTAATGAAAAAATGACGTATTAAGCAATTAGAGGGAAGTGGGGTGCGAGTTGCGACCTGGTGCCAAGGTTTAGGGCGTGGAGAAGACGGCGATGGAGGGTCTGCATATGCGAACTGATGCAGCGATCATTCTCTTTCTCTTTGTCTCTGCCAGATTTCATGGTTTCTTCCTATTAAGAGAGAATTCGAAAAAATAGAGAGAGAAGGTGAAGATCAAAGTGAAAGAAGAAATTGAATTGTGTGGTTTGTTGCAGAAAGATGTTAGTTCAGCCCTGAACACCGCCACCACAAACTCCACTTATTTGCACATTCATAGAAACTAGAGAGACGAGAAAAATGAATAAATAAAATCCAAAAATGTCAATTTTCCATGTATCGAATATTTTTAAATGAATAAAAAAATTAAATTGAGATGAAAAGTAAATATTAAAAAAAAGGATTACTTTCAGAAAAATGGTTTTCATATTAATGCCATTCTATAGTTAGTGTGAAATTATTATTATTATTATTATTTACTCAAACAAACACAAACAAAAAAGATATTACAGTATGCTTAAGAATATATGGCTGTAACTTTTTTATGTTTATAGGTTCATAGTGAGCATTTAAGTGTAAGAAACATCTACTTAAAGGGAGTTTTTGATTGGTCCTTTCATACGTGTTAATAAATGGCACATATGCTTTACTAATGGATACAAATTCCACCCTCATACTTGGACTTAAGGGAAAAAAACAATTAATAGTGGTGTACATGTAAAAGGCTTTATAGAAGGAGGTAAAGATGATTTTTATGGCATCATTCAACACATATATGAGCAACAATATAATACTTCAACCTCCCCAAAGAAAGTGGTAGTATTTTATTGTGAATGATTTAATTCATCATGTAGAGGTACATTAGTGGATCCTAAATTTAGACATTCGCATGAATAGAATATATTTACCATTTGATCCTTTTATCTTGGCACATAATGTTAGACAAGTATATTATATCCATATTTGAGATAAAGAAATGACAAATAAGGGTGGTATATTGCTATAAAAACGAAGCCTAGAGGTCGCATAGAATCTGAAGACATGGAAGATGATGTTCCTTATCAAATGGATGAAATGTCTCATGTAAATGAAGTTGTTGAAGTTGAAGGTGTTTTTGGATTGCAACATTCAAAGTTGATGTTGAAGTAATCCAGGAAGAAGAAGAGGAAGATGAAGAGGAAGAAAGAGAAGATGAAGATGAATAGGATTCGTGTAATAAAGAAATTGTTCTTTATGAGTTAATTTTTATATTCCACATGATGTAGTTGAGAAAATGTTAATTATGTAGTTGAAAAAGTGTTTTCTATGAGTTAATTTTTCTATTCCATATTATGTATGACGTAACTCCTTTGCAGAATTGACTATATAAATTTCTTATGTGCAAATATGTCATCAGGAGGGTGTGACTCACCCTAAGCTCCCATGTCTCATCCCAATAAGGGGAAAAATGTAACGAAACGAAAAAAATCATGCTATATACTTAAAGTAAATGTCCTTCCCTCACCCTTAGCTCTTACACCTATACCTTCATCTGCAGGTGCTGAGAATATACATGCCCATACAAACAATATTGCACCTACAGCCACTTCTGCCCCGTCCCAAGTCGATGCACCCAACCCTAGTCCATCACCTGTCATTGCATTAGCACCTTCCCGAGGAGCTACATTGCCTTCAATATCATCAGTACCATCACCACTACCTTTAGTCTCACCTACATTACCCTCAAGGTCTCAAGCATTATCACCATTATCAGTGCCTTCTAGATTCCATCATACACTAGCTGGGGAAGACCAAGAAGTGCATATTGTTAGAAATGTAGGTTGAGATAAAGAGGGGAGGTGAATTGATCTTTGAAAGATTTTCGCAATTTACAGAATACAGATTATCTATTTCAAAGATTTTGAATTCTGATCACTTCTTGAATCAAGAAAAATAAGCAATTCAATGTAAGACACAAAGAGTAAAGGTTTAGAGAAAGACAACCAAGATTTATACTGGTTCACCCAAACCACAGGGCTACATCCAGTTCTCATCCAAATTCCAACTGAGTTCCACTAGATTGAATGTATTACAGATTACAATTTCGAATCTCACAACACTCAATCTACCACAAGAGTCAAATTCCAGTTCTTGCACCTAAACCTTCACCAAAAACCAAATTCCAGTTCTTGTTTAAACCTGTAACCAAATTCTAGTCACAGAATCTATGCCCAACAATTCTAGACACCAACAATTCAGTAAAGAATTAAAGAAATCAAAAAGAAAGAAATCAAAAAGGAAGAAATCAGAACAATCAAACTTGATTTATGCAGCTCCTGCAGTATGAGTTTCTTCACAAAAAGAAAGCAAAAATGCCTCAACAAAGAACTTTGTAAAACTCTACAAAACTTGCGAAATTCTTTCTTGAAAATCTCTCTTATGATTGCTTGATTTATTGCTAAAAAGATGATTTTAAAAGACTGAAGCAATCCTGTTTATATAGTCTTTTTCCAACTAACTAGTTTAATTAATTGGTTAAATCATCTTTTAATCGATTATTAAATCTTGATTAATCGAATAATTCTTCTTTTAATCGGTTAAAATGTGCTTAATCATTTTCTAGATTTATTTTAATTGATGCGATGACGTTTTAATCGATTAAAACAGTTAAAAAAAAATTCTCTAAGTTGTTTTAATCGATTATAATTCTGCCAATCTTTTTCGCAAAACTTCATAAGTGTTTTAACTGATAACATCAAGTTTTAATCGATTAAAACACTTGACAAAATTTCCCTTAAGTTATTTTAATCGATTAATTCGATGTTACATCGATTAAAATTTTGGCAAAACACTTTTCAAAACATTTCAAGTGATTTTAATAGATTATTTCGAAGTTACATCGATTAAAATACTGACAAAACACTTTTTAAAACATTTCAAGTGATTTTAATCGATTAATTTGAAGTTATATCGATTAAAATACTGACATAACATTTTTCAAAACATTTGAAGTGATTTTAATTGATTAATTTTGAAAACATATCAGTTAAAATTTTGTTATGAATGTTCCTAGCCCATTTTAATCGAATAACCTTATATAGTATTAGTTAAAACTATTTCTTAAGAACAGTTTAATCAATTACATTGATTTTTAACAGATTAAAACATTTTTAGAGGCATTTTCAAATTCTTTTATATGATCAAACCTCACGCAGCGGAGAAATATGAATAAATACCTATTAATATTGATTATGACTCACTAAATACTCTACCCTTAAACCCAAGTAGCCTTTTACTTCATCAAATCCACAAAATCTTCATTCTATCATGAAGTTTAATAAAATCTCCATCACTTTTTGTAACATCTTGATTCTCAATACCCCTGGTTTGTTAAATTTTGACAAAATTTTTGTCAAAATTTTAATAATTAAATTATTAGGAATTGGGTAAAGTAACTGTAGAGTTTTATGTTTATTAGATTATTTATGATTTTTGGGAATTTTTAGAAAATACTTAAATTTGATCCGTTTCGCAGACAACTGGGAACCTGATAGTAATTATATGATTTAGGATTGAAATTTAAAGAGTATGGACTTAACAATTTTAATTGTCACATTTAGAAATTTTTGTTTTCTTGTATGCATTGAGTGTGGATACAATAAAAGTGTATTATGTGTATTAGTTGACAAGAAACCTATGATGGTTGATATGGTTTGGAGTGATGCTTGAGTCTTAGAGATTGTGGGTTCAAATCTCTCTTTCTCTCAAATTTTTTCCTTACCTTCAAACTTGATTTTGAGGGAAAATCTTGATTTTCTTGAGAAGCTCCAAGAGGTAAGTTGGTTTATCTCAATCTCCTCTACATTTCTACCGTTTTATTTTTTAAAACGGTGCATTTTCTATTTTTATCCTCACTTGAATGAGCTTGAATGGGAGTAGGAAGAGTGTTATTGTAGGTTTTACACCTAGGATACTAGAATAATGTTTAAAATTGAGGATTAGAAGTGGTTAAGCTAAAAACTTTAAGAGTCCTAATTCGTAGGTACTATTCATTGAATTTTTGGGACTTGTGTGAACAGAATTAGGAATTGGTATCTTCATGAAAGTTGTAGCTCTTTAAGTTTTCAAAATTTAGAAACTGATTTCACATTAAACGGATATTTATAGCTTAAGTTATGCCCATTTTACTATCAAGTGTTCTAGCTGTGACGTTAAGAGGTAGCCCTGTTTCAACAGCCTAGGTTTTTGAATTACTGAGATTGATACGTGTGAAATTAGGACTTGATTCCTTCATAAAAGTTGTAGGAAATTATATCCCCGAAATTTAGAAATTTATTTCATGTTAATATCTTATGTGTAGCAAGAGTTATAATCCAATTACCAAGGCATGTTCAGAGTGTTATTGTAGTTGAGCCTAGTTGGAAACAACCACTGAAAACTGAAAACTGCATCTATTCTATAGGGTATTTGAATTTATTTCCTTCATCAATATTGTAGGTAATTAAGTTATTGAAATTTTGGCTCAAATCTCATGCCAAAACAGCTTATATAACTCTAGAAAATTTTGAAATACTGAACCTTGTCCATGATTGTTATTAGGATTCTTTCTACTCTAAGTGTATACAAAATAGGATAATTTTCTAAGATAATTTTAAGCTGAATGTGAGCTTAAAATATTATTAAAAAAAATGGATTAGCAATACAGAGTGAATTTAAATTCTCATGAGATAGAATCATAGAAATATAAGATTCTAACTAGCATTTTATTACGTATATAGATTTTTGTTGAAACACAACATCAAGCTTTGAAAGGAATAAGTGTGAACGTATCAGATAAGGGGTGGGCTATATAGTAAGGATTACATCATAAACTTGTTTGACCTTATTTGTTGAATTTGTCTAAATTTGTTATGATTGATAATTGTGATTTCATTATATGCTTGGTTGTGAAAGTGATAATGAATTGCTTACGTGTATGATGGTGTAAAATACATGTTTGGTACTCTATTATGATATGTATTATCTTTGAGTGAGCATTTATATGCATGGTGGTTTTTCATGAGAAAATTCATTGAAAATTAAATTGAAAGAATTGGATGATGGGTTGTGAACCATTTTTGAACTGTATTAGAAGTTTTCTGCTTGTAACACGTGATTTGAAATTTTTGGGAAGTCCTATTACAGGGGAAACTCTGTCAAAATTTTTGGAAAAATGTGAATTTCTAAGAAAAACCACTTAGGGACTCATACACTACTCATGTGAAAATGGTGATTTATAAAATCTGGGGAATCAGAGATTATGGACTCTGAGAATACGATAGGGAGGCCCTGAGGGAGGACTTGAGGATAGGAAGGGTAGTGGTTGGAGGCCCCAAAAGACCCAGGCTCGCTACCTGTTGTCGGGGATCCCACTGTACAAACTCTCCTGTACCTGACTGTGCTCTTACCGTATATCAATGGTCAGTGAGCTACTGGGTTTATATTTGAGTATGGGTCTCAACAATCCTGTGGGTGGATTTTCCATGCCTAGTAGTGTCAACTCCTGGCTACCCCAGTACTAATTTGAGAAATGATTCGGGCCCGCATGCATAAACATTTTAGAAAACATATTAGGATCATGCATCATTAACATCAATCATTTGGAATTTGATTAACTTGTGAATGTTTATGATGTTGATTTTAAAATGATGTATGAACTGTTGTTCACCTTCTTGTCTTTCTGTTTTCTTTATTTCCTTTGTGTTTGCGGTACTCGTTGGACCTGATCGGTCATTGTTTGAAGAGAGGGGAGATGACACAGATTCCACACCCGATGAATATGACAGTCATACTCATTAGCTGGGAGCCACAATGATGGCAACATGTATTGGGATAAACATATCTAAACTTTTATAGGCAGTCTTTTGTAGTACATAAACCTACATGGTACTGGGTAGTAGTTACTCTTTTGTGTAGTTAACTGCTCTGTAGGAAGTATCCTCAATGTTGCCTTAATATTTTGAAGGACTGTACTAGTATTTTATCTATATGTAATTATGAATGTTTACCCTTAGTACTTTTTAAAATGATGAAATGCAGGAATGAGTATTGAAAATTTATGTATACTAATATTATGTACAAGGGAAAGATTATTATCGGTTAAAAAAAAATTCTGCTAAAAATTATTAATTCTTATGATTGAGGGTTTATAAGATAGGGTGTTACACTTTTAGTCTCCCCCTATTTGATAAAGACAAACACATCTTTTTAAGGATCTTGATCTAAAAAAAAAAGAATACTTGAATACACAAATTAGTGAGCATTCAATATTAATTTATCCCCTTTGACTTCATAAAAAATAAGGAAAGAAGATATGTAACAAACATATACATAATATCTCAATATTTTAAAGTGCATCCAGAATATAACAATCACCAAAATCAGTGAAGAAATTACAAATTCAAAGAAAAATATGATATATCATTCTTTCAAGAAAAAGTAAAGTTGATTCAATTTTATCTTTATTAACACGTTTGCGATGAACACAATAAATTCGTGTAAAGATAAGGGAACCTTATCTTAGTAGCATGTTACAGGAACAACCATTAACTAAAATCTTTATTTTGAATCTTAGATAATAATCGATGAAAAACATAGCAAAATCGATTAAAATTGAACACTGTTAATGATTTTAATTTATATAATTTATTTTTAATCGATTAAAAAATTGATGATAGATGTGCAGTTAGAAAATCAAGAGCTT